CAAATAGTGAAACCAAATTGTTAAATTTGCATAACATTTTTGAAACTTTTTAAAACGGTAATTGCTGTCAAACAAGTTAATCAACTGAACTGTCAGTAACACATCCAAGCACAGAACATAATGTCCACTTCTTTCTCTCCCCTCCTTCTTGCCCTCTCTACATCATCTTTCTCTTGTTTTCTCTTATTTACTTCCTCTACTACTCCACCTAGGCATTACTATGGAGGAAGGTGAGCATGGCCACATGCTCTGGGGTCAGGCTTGCTCTTTTGTTTTTTTTGTCACAATGTTCCCAGCATCTGAAAAAGGCGTTCAGATGGAGTAGATGTAGCAGGGACAGCCAGGTATGATTTGGCCAGATGTGTGAGGTTGGGGAACTTGCTGCATTGTCCTTCCACCATTGGAGAGTGACATGTGACTCCCAAATATGCCTCAGTGGCAATACTTGTCCAAGCATCAGTAGTGAGTATGATTTTTGATGAAGCATTTTTAATTTATTCTTTCATTCTCTCAACCGTAGCCTCATATTTTTTCTCCATCATCCTGGATGAAATGTATTAATTATTTCACGAAAACCTTGACCCTCCACAACTGCAAGAGGTCTCATGTCTTTAATAATCATTTGTAGGATACTGTTAGAAAGCTCAGCAGACATCTGTGGTGTGCATGGATTCAAGCTCCTTTTGTGGAAAAAGTCATCTACGGTGCTTTGTCGCGGGGTCCTGAAACTGAAACAGACAACGGGGTAGAAAGTGGCATAATTAGAAAATGTGTATATGTGTAATAGAGATTTAACAAATTGCAATGTTACCGTGGACTATTTCATTTGTATCTGCGTTTGTACAAACATCGTATTCCCGCATATTCACTCTCGCCCTCCCGACAGTAGTTTAACAGCAGCAGTGCTGCAGGCGGAAGAAACGTTTAACAAAAGAAAAAGAATTACCGACGAGAACACATTCTTTGTACCGTATAAAGCTAATACTGTTACATTTGGTAGGAACAATATGAAAAGTAAACAGAACTTACGGTGCTGTCTCGCTTCCACTGTTGTCCTGAGAAACTGCCCCGGGATGTTTCCTTTTCAAATGCTCCTGCATGGTGCTGGTGCTGTTGTGAAACGCCATTTCTGCTTTGCAGAAATGGCAGACCACCATGTTGTTTGGTATGTGCTTAAAATACTGCCAAACCTTTGGTGACCGCAGTCGCGGTATTTTCGCGTTCCCCGGACACGCCATGCCGCTAGTGCTATGTGTATCCATGCTCGCGTTACTGCCTACTTCCTACTAATCTTCTTCTACGTCCTTTTAAAGGGCGGTTGGCATCCAGCTTTTGGCGCGTTACCGCCACCATCTGCTCTGGAGTGTGAAACTGAAACTTGTCTTAAAATTTTTTTTTGTTTCCTACATATGACAAGTCGACGATTAATATGCAAATCGACTAATTATCATAGTCGATTAAGTTGAATAATGGCTACAGCCCTAGTTAGTGGACTAAGTCAGCCTCTGCCTCGTTCAAAATAAATGAAAAACCAGCATCAAGTACAGAACTCACTTTGTTTCCTTGGACATGATGGAGTCATCAATGGCACACATATTAAAATCAAGGTGTTTCTGTGAATCAGAAACATTCTCACAGCATTAACACTCAAGTGGTTGTGAGTTACATGATGCTTGATTTGCTGGCTGTAGTGACCAGATCGACCCATACATGACTCAGATGGTGAAATCTGATGGAATCTTTCATTTGAAGATAATTATGTTCCCTTGAATACAGTGCTTGATTATATGGAATTAGACAAAAAATAGGGTTGATGAAGATGATTTCACACAGGTGAGTCGCATCATGACTGGCTTTCCAATAGGGGTGTAATGGTACCAAAAACTCGAAGTATGATATTGCCTCAATAAAAAGTCTATATGATATATTTGTAACAATATTAAAAGAAAAAATGCCCCTTACTAAATAATGAATCTGTATTTTTTGTATAATGTATATAAAGGATAATGTAGCCGTCATTTTATGAGATCAATTAAAACAACACATTATTGCAGCAGCTGAATCATGGAAATAAGTCGTATTCGCAGTGGAACCTTGGTGTTTTAGAACCCCCTAGACAGGTTACTTTCTGGTAGTTGTGCCGACAGGTACCCCCCCACGACCACCAGGGACAGTAGTGAACAAATTGCCACTTAGCGCACCAGAGGTAGAAGAAGACCCCAAAGTATACTAGGACAAGCCACACTAAGGTGAAATTTGTGCTTTGTGCTGTTGGAGGTGTTTTTCAAACACAGTGGTCTACTTTTTCAAGAGAAAATGCTTGGAGGGTGGTTACTAAGTAGTGCACAGCTGTGCTTTAACTGTTTCAGATGTATCCAGGACTGAATGGGTGTTCAGTTCTAAACAGGGCATTCTTTTGACAGTATTTGCAAGCTGTTATGCATGTATCAGTTTCCTTTTCTGCTGGTCTCATTTCTTGAAACAGGAAGCTGAACTGCTGCCACATAGCAGTGCTAAAAGGTGACAATGGAGGATCTGCTTTGTCATTTTGAAATTCTGCGGCCATAATGAAGTTATACTAGCAAAATAACCACATGCATTATCGTGGTAGATCCCATGACATTAACAAGAACTTTTTCTATATTCCGGTAGGAAATTACAAATATTTTTTACATCCCCACTTTTCCAAAAACATAATGCCTATTGCAGAACAAGAACTGATATAAAGCACTTTACTACAGCTTATAATGAACATGCTATTTTCTGTTACCAGCTTCTTGTTTATACACTAGGCCTGCAAGATGTGAGGAAAATGTGCAATAACATTGTTCAATATTGCGATGATAATATGACTTGCGATAAATTTTTAAGTGTATTTTAGCTATACCGTCTCACACCCTGCACACACACAGTGGACTTAACTACAGTTCACTACAATTAACATTGCAACAAGTTTCTCCATATAAGAGCTCAAACATTAGCAGTCTGTGCAAGCATCTAGTGAAGGTCCATTTCATACAAGCATAGCAGCAAGGAGCGTGCACATGGAATTGTATGAACATGGATTTTTGGTTAAAAATAACCAGTTGCCAGCAGATTGTTATGGGTGCATTCATAAATTCAAGTCATCAGAGCATCAGACGACGCTGGGTTATGTAGCGTAATCCCTGGGTCTCTGACTTACTTTAATCCCTGATTCACTGGTAACAGAGCGAGGTGTTGGAGTTTCAGAGCACGGCCGGATTTAGTGATCTGAGAGTAGGAGGCAAAGCACCACACAGTAATAATAATGAATTAGATTTTTTACATTTCAGTAATCACACCTTAGTCATTTGTTCAAAGCAGTGCTGTCACACTTTGCTTCTCAACAATGTTAACAGTGGCTGGCATATGAGAAAATTAAACAATGTTGATTCTGATTTTAAAATTTTATTTTCCTCTTAAAAATAAAAAGAACCTATCCGTATCATTTAAAATCAGATTTTTAAAGCAAAAATGTCATGATTAAAAAAAGTTGAATCCTTTCTTTTCATATGTCATCTTTAATTTTTGCACCAAATTATACAGAGTAGTATGAATAAGAATATTGGTACTGATAAGCAGTATCAATAAAATACCATAGGGTTACACTGTCATCTAAACCACCGAACACTCTGTAAAATCCTTTTAGTCCTCAAAATTAGTATAAAGTAGGGCTGTACCCGACTAAGAATCTTGTCAGTGGGCTCAGTTTTGGCTGTTCAGTGTGATTATTTCACTATTAATTTTTTTTGTCTGACATATACACAAATATTGGCACCTCTGCATTTTTGTTAGATAACACACCACTTCGCCCAGAAAATTGTTGCAGTCACAAATTCTTTGGTATTTGCATGTTTATTAAAGGCAGGGGGGAAAAAAACACTTATTTTTTGTGTACAGAATATATGAAATTTAAAACATCACAGCAATGCATCCTCTCTGATTGAAGCTGGATGTTTTCATGTTGCAGGTGACGGACACTCTGGAGTACATTAAGTCAGATCACCATGTAGACCTGCAGTGTTACTACACCACAGAACTGAGCATCCTGAAGTCTGAGTACCCAGAGTCCAACACCATGTCCACCCACCTGCAGCAGAATGGCCTTGAGTCTATCCACATGGCTGAGCTCCGCACTGAGCTCAACAAGCTCCGACCGGATGCATTGCTGATGGACGGCATGGGAAAAATGGAACCTGAGTTTGGAGGGAGCACCCTGTATGAGCTGCAGCCAGCTGAGGGTGGGAAGTCTGTGGAGGGGACAGGGGTGGTGACCGGGCAGGGAGGAGGAGGTGGTACTGTGGTCATCACAACCAAAACCCAGAGCCCGACGGTGAGAAAACCTCGTAACATGCAGGGGGTGAAGCCTTTCTCCTGCACACAGTGTGGGAAGAACTTCAGCACACTGGGGAACCTGAAAACCCACCAGCGCATCCACACTGGGGAACGACCATACACCTGCTCGCAGTGTGGCAAGAGCTTCGGCCAGGCAGGAAACCTTAAACGACACCAGCTGATCCACACAGGCCAGAAGCCGTATGTGTGTGCTCACTGCCCCAAAGGTTTCACTAAGGCTGATGATCTGCGATCACACCAGCGACTACACACAGGTGAGCGTCCGTTCATCTGTGTCACTTGCGGGAAGAGCTTTGGCCAGTCAAAGGAGCTGAAGGCTCACCAGCTGAGTCATACTGGTGAGAGGCCGTACTGCTGCCAGCACTGTGGCAAGAGCTTCACCAAGGAGACCAGCTACCGTAACCATGTTCAGATCCACACGGGTGAGAAACCCTTCACCTGCTCGCAGTGCGGAAAGACTTTCAGCAACTCCGGTGTGTTAAAAACCCACGAGAAGATCCACACGGGTGAGCGGCCATTTGGCTGTACACAATGCGGGAAGAGTTTCGGGCGCCTTGGGCACCTCAAGGCTCATCAGCAGATCCACACAGGGGAGCGGCCGTATGCTTGCCCTCAATGTGGGAAGACTTTCAGCCAGTCGGGTCACCTCAAAGCGCACGAGCAGATCCATAAACGAGAGCGAGTGGACACAGCCAGCAGCAGCAGCAGCAGCACCATGGGCAGTGACAGTAGCTAAAAGAAACCATACCCTTTAACCTCTCGGAACAACAAAGTATTATTCCTCTTTTTTTATAAATACTATATATAATTTTTTTTCCTTATGAATTTTTCTTACATTTTCATACCTTTTGAGCTCTTTTGCATTATATGTGTGGGCAGGGTGGACTGACTGATTTGCTCTTATGCAAGTGTCTGTACGTGTGTGTGTGTGTGTGTGTGTGTGTGTGTGTGTCTGTGGGTGGGTGTGATACTGAGGGGCTTGTAGATATTCGTTAAACTGGCCTGCCTGAACTGTAGTGAGTGTAAAAGTCTGTCTCTGGAGGACCAATTACCAGTACTTAGTTTTTGGAGTACTTACTGATACAGAAGCACAAATACTTAAGTGACAGAGTTTGAGTACTTAATTTTTTTTTTTTTTACTGAAACAGACCAGCAGCTCCAGACTGACTAGACCCTGTTTACTGGAAACTATTAACCTTAGAAGTTAAAGAGTTTTTCCAAACTTAAAAATTTGTTCACAAGTTTCCCATAATGTTACCCCATGGAAAGTGCGCATGCGTTTACAGCTTTGGCTGAATACACTTTAAAGTAACGTGGTGTATTTAACTGTCTGTAAGATTTAGTATGTATTAAAGATACATAAATTATAAGAAAGTTGGAAAGGACAGCATTTTGTACTTGATTTGTTCAGTGTGAAAATAAGGCCAATATTTAGTTAACAGTTGGCTTCCAATTTTTGATTTGTTATGGAGTGGAAGCATGAGGCAGATGTACTCCTGCAACTACTGTCCACCAGATCCAGCTATGTTGCAACTGCATTGTCTGGACCTACCAGACACACCAGCACTTCATGTCGGGCTGTTTGACCTCATGTTTCGGATGCAAACTGTTTTTGGTTACCGTTTAACAGAGGTGGCTCATACAAATCAAGCTCAATTGTGTGCAAGACAGCAACAAACAAAAGGGGAGCAAGGCCCCCCCCCCTTATAGGATGTTTACGGTTAGCTTGTCAAACGAGTGTAGTTAACGGTGTGGGATGTGCGTTCAAAGGTCCGCCTTTTTGTTTTCTGTGTAAAGTCATCTCAATACACATCAATTCTCCAGAAAATCTTTATAAAAGTGTCTCAACACATCCGGGCTCCTGGACCCTGACTGCTTCTTCATTATCTTCCAATATTACTGCCTGCCATCCATGTAGCAGAGAGCCAGCGGTAAGCCAAAAATAGAGGCCTTCACTTAAGGATAAAGCATGAATCCTGACATTTGAAAAGCTGGAACCATCAAATGTATAGCACTGTTGCTTAAAAATAAAAATAGCTTAACTAAAAAAGTTAAGCTATTTTTAACTAAGAACTAAAGCTATTTTTAGTTAAAATACAGTAGTTGCCAATTTTTTGTCAGTCAACTAATTGATTAACTGATTTTTGCTGATCTGTTAAAATGTCTTCAAATTACTAAAGATATTTAAGTTAGTGCTATAACAGAAAGGGCTACTGTCACCTTTTCCTATGTAATGATTGGGGAACTGAATATTTATTGATGCATTTCATTTGTTACCAATTTTGCAGATGTTTTTCATGTTTGAGAGTTTTTAAATTTAATAATCAGAACACCATTGGTTAAAAACAAAAAAATAGAGGCTGGTGACAGCAGCTGTGCCGTGAGATCAGCTGTGCTGACAATTGACAATGACAAAGTATCTAACATCACCTGTGGAAATCGTTGTCTTCATTTTTGTATCGAACCTATATAAAAACACCATAAATAAAGAACAGAGAAGTTATGGAAACCTCAAAGAGAACATTTAGAAAGTGCCGTTTTAGCCTGAAAAGAATTCATTATGTAAAAGACAGTTACTTGGGCACTTCCACCTTAATCCATAAAAGTGAAGTTATTCAATTTAATTTGATTTATAAATACATTTTACACCAAACGTCACGTTACTGAGAACACAGTTTAAGATAAAGCTAGTAACTTAAAAATTAAGAAAAGCATTGTAAACTCCTTGAGAAAGTTCAATGGTCAGTGTTTTTAGTAAACAGGGTCCTGGTTCAGAATTGTTGACAGCAGTAAAATTACTTTAACTCCAAGTACATTTCTATCCTTTGCCAATATTATGAGTACTTATTTTTGAGTACTTACTGCCAATTTACTAGTATTTTACTTACAGGTGTGGGTTCTCAGGCATACACTGTTGCTGTATTGTTATAAATCTGATGATTTTTTTTTATTTTTTTTTATTGACCAGTATTGATTAAACAGAATACGCCGGTGTTTTTGTTTATGATAATCTGCTGTTTCAGTGTTCTATTCTTTTGTAGCAGAATTAAAAATCATTTCTTTGTTGTCACATCAAAATTCAGTTTTCAGTATCATTGGGCTCCAATAGGACCAAATGCATCAGCACAGAGGAACCCAACAATCCCCCTTCCTGTCTAGATCGCTCACTGTGTACAAATCTTCTAGTGATAATGTCATTCTTCAAAAAAAAAAAATGTAATGACATCATTTAATAAAAGCAAAAAAAAGGGATCCAGCATCTTGTACTTGAAAAGAATTATTAAAGAAATTAATTGCATGTTTGGCTCTAGTTGGGGTTTCTTTTTGTGTTCTTGGTGTTTTGATACAGGCTAAAATGCTTTGACACTACATCCTTCTGATTGTTTTTTTTTTTTTTACTAGTGATGGGGCAAACGAAGCTTTCTGACTAGGTCTCCATCCAGATGAAGCATGAATTTTAGCCAAGCGTCAAGAAAGATTGTCATAAGAAAACAAAGTAATGAGTTTCCATCTACTACCCTTTATTAGGATATTGATTAGGATTTTTTTTCCCCCAAGACAAACATTTGGAGTTGATTCTCTAGCCTTTAAATCGTCCACGTGATGGCAAACCATGTGGTGAATCGGACGTTTGTTTAATTTATCTTCACTGGAAGCTTGAAAGATGTTTGTGACATCCTTTTGTGCATGTCACCATTTGTTTACCGAGTTATTTTGTCACACCACCAATTTTTCAAAGTCAGACAAGTATGTTAGCATGCTAACATTAGCTGATACATCACTAATAATAGTCCAGTAGTATAATGTACACTCACCAGCCACTTTATTAGGTACACGTGTTCAACTGCTCGTTAATGCAAATACAGTATCTAATCAGCCCATCACATGGCAGCAGCTTAATGTTTTTATGCATGTTGACAGGGTCAAGATGATCTGCTTAAGTTCAAACTGAGCATCAGAATGGGGAAGAAAGGTGTTTTACATGACCTTGAATGTGCCATGGTTGTTGGTGCCAGACAGACTGGTCTGAGTATTTCAGAAGCTGCTGATCTACTGTGATTTTCACACACAACCATCTCTGGGGTTTACAGAAAATAGTCCGAAATGCCTCGTTGATGCTAGAGGTCAGAGGAGAATGGCCAAACTGGTTTGAGCTGATAGAAAGGCAACAGTAACTCAAATAACCACTCGTTACAACCAAGACATGCAGAGGAGCATCTCTGAACACACTACATGTCGAGCCTTGAAGCAGATAGACTACGGCAGCAGAAGACCACACCAGGTGCCACTGCTGTCAGCTAAGAACAGGAAACTGAGGCCTACAATTTGGAAGGGCTCACCAAAATTGGACAGTAGAAGGTTGGAAAAACATTGCGTGGTCTGATGCGTCTCGATTTCTGCTATGACGTTTGGATGGTAGGGTCAGAATTTGGCATAAACACCATGAACGCATGGGTCCATCCTGCCTTGTATCAATGGTTCGCACTGCAGGTGGTGGTATAACAGTGTGGGGGATATTTTCTTGGCAAAGTTTGAGCTGCTTAGCACCATTTGGGCATTGTTTAAATTCCAGTGTTTCCAGCACCTTGTTAAATCTTTGCCATGACGACATTTCTGAAGACAAAAGGAGGTCCAAGCTGATACTAGCAAGGTGTACCTGATAAAATGGCTGATGAGTGTATGTATGACAAGTTGTGTAAAATAAGAAAAACAAACTTTCCCCTTCGTCAGAAACCCTGATTGATTTTATTCTGTGTAAACCTTTATTGTAAACTAATTTTTGACTTGTCTGATAACTTTTTACTGTTTTATGCTCGTTTTTCAGGGCTCCGTACTCGAGGCTGTTAGCCAAGTTCAAATGTTTCTCCAGTGATGAAGTAAAGCTGCAGTTTTTGTTGACTTGTCACTTTGAACACTGCTCCTTAAATATTCAGATGCATTTTGTTGAGTTTTAGTTTTTATTTCTTGAAGCATCATACAGAAGTTTTGTTGGCACAGCAGTGAAGTTCTCTCCCCCCCCCAACTATTGAGGGAACTTAAATGTTCCCCTCACATTTTGCCTGATTCTGGTTTAATTGACAGAAGAAAACGAGTGTGAAATATCAGATCTGCAGCCCGATGAAGTTGAGAAATGTTCTTCATCAGGTGGAAGTGCTCTGTGATTTAGCATGCAGACAGGTGATAGATTAAGATTTGACTCCGCTCCGGGTCAGACAGACACATGACTGCTTTCAGGCTTTCCCCTCGATGACCTTTGTGGTGACTGTGGTGGTCATTGAAGAGGACGAGCCTGAAGATCTGAGAGACAGAAACATGTTGCAAAAGGTCAGAGACGTGTGAAAATCGGTTTTAGTCTGAAACAGGACTAGTTTGTTTGATAATATTGGCCATGCTGGATTGAATCTCTTGTCTCTTCTTACCCAAATCCCTGTCCATCCAGCAGACCCCTGTAGTCAGTGATTTCCTTCTCCAGCCTGGTCTTGATGTCTAGCAGCATCTGGTAGTCTTGGGACTGTCTCTCCATGTCAGCCTTCAGCTGCGTCAGCTGCTCCTCCAGACTGCTCACCTGTGTAATCACACAAGTAAACACTGTCAGTGCTGACACTTTCATGGAGCTAACAGACAGTAATGCAGTATATAGTTCTGTCCAGCTCACCTGCATCTGGAAAGCGTTCATCTGATTGGCGTAGCGGTTCTGGATTTCAGCCAGTGTGTTTTCAAGTGACGCTTTCTACGGAGAGAATGGCGAGTTAGGGGACAGGAGACAGTAATGGGACCAATGGACAACGGGATGTAAGCAATAACAGAGTCATGCAAATTAAGGACAACTTTTAGGCACTCATTTGCCATTTTATACTAATTTTTAACAGACAGCTAGAGGAAATACTTCTCAATTTGAGATCTTATATTAAAAACACAAGTGTATAGAACATTAATTATTAGGGCAGTGGTTTCCATCTTGTTTGATTTGGGTGGTGGAAGAAGTATTTAAGTTAAAGTAGCAATACAACAGTGTACAAATACTCTGTTACAAGTAAAAGTCCAGCATTCAAAATGTTAAGTACAAAAGTTTTGGTACCAAAACATACTGAAAGTAAAAGTGCATATTATGCAGAATGGCACATTTAACATGAATGTATATTTTATTGTAATATTATTATTATTGATGCATTATTGTGTTCATCACTTTAATGTTGCACCTGGTAAAAGGGGGAGCTAGTTCTAGCTTGTATGCCTATAATTTGAATTATTACTTGGTAACTTGTGAATTTTCCACCAGAGGACAAAGTCTTATGTGTATGTTTTGTATTGATCTGGTTCTGAAAAGTAAATAGTAACTAAAATTATGAAATAAGTTTAGTGGAGTAAAAAGTAAAATACAGTATTTGCCTCTAAAATGTAGTGAAGTTGAAATATGAAGTAACAGAAAATGAAAATACTCAAAGTACAGATACCTCAAAATCCTACTTAAATAAATGTACTTGGTTAACTTTCCACCACTGCTCTTTATAAAATCAATTGTGTCTGTCACATTTTAGATGTCTGAGCACTTCAATTATGGTATTTCTTCTAAGATTCAGAATGGCCAAATGAGCCAGTATTTTCCCCAGTATATCAGATCACAGAAAAAGCTCCATGTATTTCATGCACAAACCTGAAACTATTGTGTTTGTACAAAGTGTGATCTTTGAAAATTGCATAGGGTTTCCCAGGCTTTTAACTCAAGGTTGCTTCCAGGAATCTTCATGTCAATATTGGTGGATACTGAAGCTTTTTATATGCTACAACAAAATATCCGTTGGTCGAATACTTTCTTCAGACTTAATCACTTTCAAAAACTGCAGCATTCATGTGTTCATGCTCTACTTACCATGCTGAGCTGTGACTGCAGCTCGAGCTCCAAAGCCTGAAGCTGACTCTTCACATCCTTCACCTCTGTTGTTGACGTTTTCAGTGTCATCTCTGTGGTTGCCACCTCCTGACCAATGGCTTCCGACTGAGAGGAAGAAGAGGAGAGGAGGGCTTCACTAAAATACTTCAGAAAGGAGTCACTAATGTTTTAGTTATGTACCTCTATAACAGGCAGTCCGTTTCCTACCTTGGCCTGGAACCAGGCCTCCCATTCTCTTTGGGTCTTGGCGGCCTGGGCCTCGTATTGATCTCTTATCTCCTCCATAACCTTGGTGAGGTCGGCCTGTGGAGCTGCGTCCACCTCCACGTTCACCTGACCACTCATCTGAGTTCTCATGGAAGCCATGTCCTAGAGGAGGAGGGAGGGAGGCTGAGGTCAGTCAGAATGTTAAATGAGTGAATGACCTTTGACCTCAGTGATGAGACCAAAGACATCAGGAAAGGCACTTCCGAGTTGAAGCGGGATCAATGATTGCACTGTGTGACCTTTTGGAGAAAAGAACCTGCTAAGAGGACCTTTAGGTGTTAATAAAGATCTCGGTACCTCCTCATGGTTCTTCTTCATGGACTCCAGTTCATCCTTCAGGCTCTCGATCTGCATGCTCAGGTCTGTCTTGGCTACACCCAGTTCTCCCAGCAGCATCTTCAGCCCGGCAATGTCAGCCTCCACCGACTGACGCATGGACAACTCATTCTCATACCTGCACAATGAAAGTTTGTTATGGAATCAAAGATTTCAAATTAACTCAAATAATTTTGAAGCCTTTGTAAACCTGTGAAAAACTTTTGAAAATTCAAATTTATGAATGTGTAGAAATATGTGCGCAGATTGTATCAGCTGTAAGATTGAACAACTACTAAGAGCTTTTCTGAAAAATGTTGCCTTTGCCTGAATATTTTCCCTGAATACACTGCAGTGCACTTTAGAATTTCATTATTTTTATTTAGACTGAAAGCATCTCAGCGTTTCTGGAGTGGCTGTGGCTTAGGAAGTTGAGCAGGTCATCTCCTAACAGGACTGTGTGGTGGTTAGATTCCCAGTTTCTGCAGTCCACATGTCAAAGTGTCCTTGAGCAAAACAGTGAACCCCTAGTTACTCTTGGTGATCTCACTGGTGTGTGGGAATGGGTGAATGGGAAACAGTGTAAAGCGCTCTGAGTGTGCTTCAATGGATGGAAAGGTGTTATACAAGACCATTAACCATTTCTTACATCTACAAATCTTTGCTACACATTCACAAAATTCAACTTCTTAGAGAATTATGTCTAATTTACAGCTAAAGACTTTTCCCCCTTCATATTAATTTCATCTGATCAAAATCTTACTGATCCAAATAAGCTCATTTTATGTTGCAGATTTATTATTTCAAATGCTTGCAGTAGATTTTGTCAGGTGAGTTTTCTACTGCAGTTCCCACAGCAGCCAGAAGAGGGAGCAGGAGAGGGAGATTCAGCTCCTGCTGCACTGAATCTTCAATAACAAGCTGCAGAAAATGCTTTTTTTTTCTCTCAGAGTGAAATGAATGAACACAAAAACACAAGATAGTTCTTCACCTGATCTCAAAAGAAAATCACCACAATGTTTTCACTTGCCATCAAGATTTTATTCAAATGTGTAAGTACTTGCCCTGATTTTGTGTGATTGACAAATCTACCTTTATGTAGCTTGGATCAAATATTACATTAGAAAGAAAGAAAAAATAATAAAGGAAAGAATGAAAACAGGAAGAAATAAAGAAAAGAAATAAAGTTACTGACTTCATTCTAAAGTCATCCTGAGCCAACTTGGCATTGTCGATATTCAGCATGACAGTACTTCTGGCCATGATGGCATCCTGGATCTGAAAATACATAAACACATTTTAGACTTCACCAGATCAGAAAATGCTGTGTAAATATTGTATAATCATATGTCTTGTAGCAATAAGGTTCTTCAAATGTAAAAAAAAATAATAAATAAAATAAAAGGGATCAACGGTATACATTCAAATGGTGAGGAAATCTAAAACATGTCATAAAGGTGACGTTTTTGCTCAAAGGACCATTGTCAGCAAACCTGCATATAACTCTATGGAAATTGGCTGCACCAGCAAAGAGAGGAGTGACTGTGTTTTTACTAATTTTAGGGTGTGGTCAAAAGACTTAATATAGAGAAAGAAACAGCAGCAGCTGCTTTACATTATTATAAGATGACGATGCAAAAGAACAAGTAACAAGTGTTTTGTTTTTTAACAAAATAAGATAAATGCTGAACATTATTCCTCTCCCTTTTGTGTCTAAGGTAGCATAATAACATGAGGTTAAAAAAAATTGTTTCAGAAATGTTATGCTTTGGATTTTTGCAGAAGAATGAGCAAATCAATCCTCAAAGGTTTTTGACTGTCCTACAGCCAATCAAATTTTATGAAATAGTTTTACACTTACTGGTCAACCAATGACAGCTTGTTGTTTTATGAGACAAAAAATAAGAAGAAGAACTCTAATTGTGTTCCAGATCAATTTAAATGTCAAGCACAAGTGGTCTGTGCAGCCACTTTAACTAAGAGCAGAGTTTTTGAGGTGTGGCAGCCTCACCTGGATCACTTACACACAGGTAAGATCGACCTATTTTTCATGTAGTCGCTAAGAGTACCATATCTTGTTGTTATTTTTTCCTCTATATTGAAATTACTGAATGTTTAGATTTTCAAGAATGAAAAAAATGCAAATTAAAGAAGACCATCAGCAGGACCAGAGTTCAAATTACAGACAGCACATTGAACACCATTTCCCATGCTGCCCCTCTTCCTCACCTTGCCCTGCAGCTCTGCAATGGTGGCAAAGTGGGCACTGTAGTCCCTGGCGGAGGGGCCAACCCTGGTCTCAACAAACTGCCTGATGTTTTGCTCCAGCTCGGCGTTGACCTTCTCCAGTGCAGCCACCTTGGCAAGGTAGGAGGCCAGGCGATCGTTCAGGTTCTGCATGGTGAACTTCTCATTGCCAATGACACTGTCATCCATCGCTGCTCCTGCCCCGAATCCTGCGCCGCCACCAAAACCTGCGCCGCCACCAAAACCTGCACCGCCACCAAAGCCTGCTCCACCACCAAAGCCAAAACCACTACTGCCGCCGCCAGCAGAGAAACTCCTGCTGGCCTGGGAGACCCTAACACCACCACCTCCTGCTCCTCCTGTTACGCTAAAGGAGCTCATGCCTCTGCCATAGGATGCTCGGCCACCTCCGCCAATGGTGGAGCTATGTGTAAACATCACGCTGATGGAGTAGAAGTGGAGGTGTTTGTTGGTCTGTCTTCTCCGGTGGAGGGAGTAGGAGAGAAGTGAGGAGAGATGGATCGGTTTTCACCTTTTAAAGGTGCTCAGATGGGCTGAGCTGGTGCAGGTGAGGGGTGGAGTCAACACTCCTAGAGGTAGAATGTAGCTCATTAGGTTTACTCCAACAATAATTATGATGAATGACCCATTTCAGAATAATGCTATTACAAATTGACTAATAGTTACTGGTAGGTTTATATGTGAATTACTGTAATGTTGCATCTGGTAAAGGTGGAAATATTCATAATAGTATAATTCATAATGCTGAGTAATCCAACCTGTAAAAATACATCTTAGTTTATTAGTTGATTATATTTAGTTTTAATAATCAGGATCTGCAAAGTAGCTAAAGCCGCAAAGTAGCACAATCGAACAGAAATACTCAAATACAAAAAGGCTTACTTGTGTACCGTACTAGAGTAAATGTGGTTAGTAATTTTCTGCCACTCCCCTCTACCCTCTGGGTTGTGTTATATAACACTCAGTATTTCCAGGAATATTACATCCTGTTCTTGCTGGCATGCTTTTTTTTCTTCAGTACAAATAGGTGATGGCTACAGCTGAAAACCCTCCTGGCACCAAGCTGTCATCCATCATCTGACAGCGTCCTACTTCAGGTGTACTATATGTTGTGGGAAAACGCTCCCGGCTGTCTTAGAGAGAGAGGGAGACAGTTGGCTTCTTGTATGGTAATGGTGACCTGCAGCTCAGTGGGTCACTTATATCATACAGAAAGAGGCTTGTTATATGAACTCTGAGCCATGGTATGTGTGTGTATGTTTAGTGTATTGAGCCTAAAGCTGTTTAACTCTGGTCAATTATAGGCCTTTTGCAGAGTGAGTGTCATAGTTATATTGCAACTGGAACTTTTCGCCTGTGTGTCCACAGGGTCTCATCACATATTACATATCTGTACATGAATGAATAAAGTGAATGTGAGACTGAAGCTACATGAATAAGGCATTGAGCGCTAATCTGTTTAGCCGGCAGCAAAGAGAGTTTTGATCTGAGGAATGAAAAGATGTGATTGATGGGCAGTAATGTGCTGCCGCATGCACCAGCCTCAGCCCTGCAGCCCATAGAGCACTTAATTACCCATGAATGATGGGAGTGAGTGGCAACCAAATATATCCCTGCTTGCATGCGTACAGGTATGTGTGTATTAATAGCTTCTATGTGAACTTTAACCCTGCAGGTAAAAACTACCTGTCAACACTTCTCTCAGTTGCCTCTCAAGAGTTTCAGGCCATGAGCTACTGGGGTGTTACTAAAAAATCCTAACACATAATTTTACTCAAAAGTCAAAAATGCACACATCTTTGTACTGATACCTATGTAGCGTAGAAGTTCAGCATTCAATAAAGATTGATTACATTTCAATTAGATTTTGTTTTTCAAATTGATCAGAAAATGACATTCCATTGCAGAGTGTAAATGCCTGAACAGAGGCAGATGGGACCCGTCAGTACCCAAGGGTTCAGACAAACATTTAGAAACTAGGTTCAGGTCTGGATCACACTTGAACATGTAGGTCAGACTTTAAGATAGACAGCTGGAGAACTCAAATGTCTGCTTCATTTAAGGGGCAAGAAAAAAACCACAGAGCAAACTCAACTGTGTCAGGCTCAGACATTATATACTATAGACTTGTTGGGTCTGGGCTGGATTCGGATGCCACACTCTTGGGCACGGGTCGAGTTCCGACAGAAATATGCATCCTAATCCATACTCTATTCCATTGCAGTGTGCTACTGTAGAACAGCAGGAGTGAGGACCGACCGAACAACAAGTCCAAAGACAAGTCAGTACCAACATGTCACAAGACTAATCCCTGGTCAAACTCAATGACTTCTAAAACTAGTCCCAAGTCAATAGTAACAAGTGCCAGATCGAGCTAGACTAGACCCATATACAAAGCAAAGTCCCAATCAAAACCAAAATATCAAGTTAATTTGTCACTCAGTGTCCCTCATAATCATAAGTGTCACCCTGTTTCTGTGCAAAATTTCTTGGCAACCCATCCAAAAGGATGTTGAGATACTGTATTACAGCCTGAACCAAAGTGGAGGACCAACCAACAGACAGACATCTCCATCCATAGAGCCAAAATGGACTCAATGCAGAACACACAGGTGGATCACAACCTAATGTATGCAGTGCACATAGAAAGGCATTGTGGACTGTCCTGTTTGTTAACATGAAAGTAGTTCTGTGAGACAGACATAAAAAATGCTGCTAGCGCTGAGTGGCCTTTACAGAGTAGTCATGTTAAGAAGGAACCAGGGTCAGGGTGAACAGGAAGAATGATGAACGCACTGGGATTTTTGTTTTCAACCTCATCCTGAACAGTCTCACAACATGTTTGTATGGAATTTTAGACATGCTGTTTTCCATGAAATGAGTTCAGCAGCACAGCTACCGAGTTCAGTGCCACGCTCAAGGCTAATTTGATGATGTTAGCATAATAATGTAACTAGAAATGATAATGGTAGGATTACTCATCAGCTTTCCTACTTACAGTAGTTAATCCCTGCTGGCACCAGGCTCTCCTCTGATAACCCTCTAACCTCCAAACTGTCACTACACCTCAACTCTGAATGAAACTTAATCTCCGTAAACCACCTGCCAATCACCAACAACAGTGAGGTTTAACTTGTCATCTGCTGTCCAAGTCACAACAACAACCAGCAGGCAACTGATCAAGAACGCAAAAAAACACTGGCACTTTCCCTTCAGTGTGGAATGACAGAGAGGGAATTGCCAAATTACAGATTCTTTGTAACTTCAGTCATAAATTAAAAGATAGCTTCACACTAATGGAAGCATTTAATGCTGCCTTTTGACTTCTCCTGCTGAGCCATGATGCGCGCAGCAGAGCCAGTGTGGTTTTGTTTCCATAGCATTGTAAAATGCATTTATCTTCCTCATTTTGATCATGAGAAGCGACACCTAATGGGCTATTCATGCTTTGCATGTCCACATGTCCGCTAAGATTGTGTGACATACTGTAATTGCCATCATCTTCCCAGGTCTGCAAGGGTGCACAGGGACTCTGTGGGGATGTCTGTGTGCAGGCCAAAAAGGGTACTTTATGCTTTGCTCATACCCTTGTGCACACACAGACAGTGGTGAGCACCTACACCAATGGTTTCCAAGCACGTGTGTGTCCCTCATCCACACATGAGGGTATACGCTAAGCATGTCTGTTTCTTTTACTCACACTGTGGGTGTGGTGTTGGTATTAAGCCCTTGGCATTAGGCTTTATTTTAGCCCGTCATCAGAAGGCCAAGTAAAAGGCACCATTTCCAAATTTTGCTGTAATTAAATTATGGATAAAAAGTGAATGTTGAACATTGTAGTGGCGTGAGCAGCACATTAAGAGCACCAGCTGCGGTGCTCTTTGTGTGGCCCAAATGCTTTACATACAATACAAACTATAAAACACACAAACCAGAGAGCATATTCACAGGCAGTTAAAAAGGAGTGGACTAAGAGCTAGAGAATGAAAAGTGTTTTGAGTTGGCTTTTAAAAGCGAGGAGAGTCTGTGCCATTCAAACGTGTAAAGGCAAGTTATGCCATAGTCTAGGGGCCACAACCGAATAAGCTTGCTCTCCTCTCATTCTCATTTTCAACCTGGCCCTTGGAACTGTAAAAGCCTCTGGTCCTTAGACCTAAATGACCTGGTGGAAGCATACAGATGCATGAGTTCCAGGATATAAGGAGGCTCTATAAGTCATGAATAAAATTTTGAAATGAATCCTAAACCACAACAGAAGCCATTGAACAACTGTGCTGCAGCATTTTAGACCAACTGTAGACGATCTAAGAAAGACTGGTTTATTCCTACATAAAGAGAGTTGCTATAATCAGTATGCTTGGAAATAGACATGAGGGTAAAAAATAGGCTTTGCTTTGTGTTTATAGCTGTAACGCACAAGTAAACGGTGAGAAAACACCATAATAACATTTGTTATTGTTAATAACAGGAAAGCAATGCTGTGACAAGTCGTTAAGTTGCAGTGGTGCCACCACCCTATTGACAATTATATGCTGTCTGCATGAAACTGTACTTTATAATTTCCATGTTCTGTTACTGTTACTCTACTAATGCTGGCATTTCAACACATTCAGCACAGAATTAGTCGTCAGCACGGTGTCATATCTTAAAGATGATTATAGTGTTTGTACAGTGTGATCAGTTTGTAAGTCAACAGCAGAATTTCACAACAGCAGATGGGCGGCCTGAGGCGTGTAGAGGCTGAAGATAAATGGCACTGTAAATGTCAGGCTGCATTCAGATCCAAATCGTTCCACCGAGGTTGAGAATTCACCGACCGCTTGAGGCTGACTCAATCAGTTACTGCGCCTCATCAGATCAGACAAATGAAAGGACTGATTGTTACTGGGCTCCTGCTCAGCTAAAAAAAAAAAAGAAGAAGAAGAATATCAATAGCCTCATAGAATAAATTAAACGGTTTTCAATGAAAACACACTTAGAAGACGAATCAGCTTCACAGCCATTCCATCGATATGTAACACACATCAGGCAACTCTTTTCCAGTAAACCACACTGTTTTTGGGTGTACTCTGAAAGCTTATGTGCTTTGGTTTCGATTAAGGCATCACCTTGCACATAAAACATTTGTAAAAACTTGTTTGTCAAACTTTATGTCCAAATTCTATGACACTCAGGAAAAATTAGTGCCTTATCCAATATTCATAGATTAGGATCCCACTCAGTGGCAAGAAATCACTTTATTCTGCAGGAATATTTTCAGCCATCTGGCCTTCATCAGTGTCATAAACTCAGTATTCTGCATCTTTAAACATTACACAAAGGTGAAAGCTTCTTGAGTGGACTTGCCTGCACCTGGGCTTTCTAATTTAACTGTATCAAAAAGCACATACTGTATCTATATGAGTGCTGCTCTGCATTGCTGAGGGTAAGGTGGGTGGACAAACACTGCTGGCACTATTTTAGTAATTTCTTAAAGCCACAATATGTAATTTAAGGTAACTTC